GCGATGGAATTTTCTCTGGACTCTGATTTCCTTGGCAAGTCACGTGACCTTCCTAAGCCATCCTGGCCATCTGATCTTTTCATTTCCTTTGGTTTCTTTTCATTCAGACTTTCCTGAGTATCTGTCCTCTTCAGCTCTCGGGCCCTCTTTTCTGTCTTTTCTTTAAGATTATTTTCTGTTTTCTCTGATTTGGTGAGTGAGTCTGATCTTTTAACTTTTACTTCTCTAGTCACATCTTCATTTAGTTTATTACTACCCTCAGATAATTTAACAGACGGACTGGCATCCTCTACCTGCAATTTAGAAAAATAAATTTCAGTGAACATATTATACATACAGGCCTTAAATATTAAAACAAGCATATATTAATAAAATAACAATGTACAAATTTCTACACAGTGTGTAGAAATTTTTTCAATTTTCAATTTCAATTTCTACACAGTGTGTAGATATTTTTTTCAATTTTTTTCAATTTCAATTTTTTCAAATTGTCTGTGTGTGGGAGAGGGAGAGGGAGAGAGAAAGGGAGTGGGAGAAGGAGAAGGAGGAGAAGAAGGAGAAGAAGAAGAAGAAGAAGGAGGAAGAAGAGGAGAAGGAGGAGAAAGAAGGGAAGGAGAAGGAGGAGGAGGAGAAGGAGGGGAAGGCAAAGGAGAGGAAGGAGATAGAGAGAGAATATATACATATATACATACATACATACATAGCCACATACCATAAACATACAACCACACACACACACACTCATACATACAGAGTGAGTGAGTGAGTGAGTGAGAGAGAGAGAGTGAGAGAGAGAGTATGTGTGTGTAATACCTGTTATATATATTCTAACCATGCTTATATCTGAGAGAGAAAGAGAAAGAGAAAGAGAGAGAGAGAGAGAGAGAGAGAGAGAGAGAGAGAGAGAGAGAGAGAGAGAGAGAGAGAGAGAGAGAGAGAGAGAGAGAGAGAGAGAGTGTGTGTGTGTGTGTGTGTGTGTGTGTGTGTGTGTGTGTGTGTGTGTGTGTGTGTGTGTGTGTGTGTGTGTGTGTGTGTGTGTGTGTGTGTGTGCGTGCGAGCGTGCGTGTGTGTGTGTGTGTGTGTGTGCGCGTGCATGTGTAATATCTTTTATATATATTCTAACCATGCATATATCAACAGGAAGGGTGCAACAAGGGAAAGGGGGATAAAGTAACTTAACATTTAATGACTGAAAAATAAAAAAAAATAAAAAAAAGTACCTGAGATATGGTAGTGGTGGGAGTGGTGTTGACAGCAGTGGAGTTTGTGCTAGTGTTGGCAGAGGGATTACGGGGATTAGTGCGGCGGCGGTGCAGGGAAGGATCGCGGTATAGACGACACTCTGATTTCCCTCTGGTGGTACAGTCATTTGGCTGACCTGCCTCAGGGGAGGTGGAGGGGCTGGGGGTGGCGTCCTCAGACAAGGGAGTCACCAAACCCAAGGGAGACTCCTGAAGACTTCTCATCTTCTCCTCAAACGTGGCAGTGATGGCGCTCAGCAAATCACTACCTGTAACCAATAAACACCGATTAAGGATCCCTGCACATAACACTGTCAAGAATAATAAATCTCACTCATATTGGCTTATAGATATGTCCTTTAATCAATGTTTCAACGAAATAAAAACAAATATTTTTCCACATTCATTTGTTACTCTTGTATGTCTTTTGATATATGGTAATAAAAGACAAAAAGATTAATCATAATATGTACAAGGTTTTACAGTATTCTAAGTCATTATAAAAATAGCATTCTAAATCATTATGCGACATCCAATATTTGTACATTACCTTCTATAATTTGTAGTATTAGAAAATAACACAAGTAACAATTTTATGGTTAAACACACAGTACTAGATATGGTTCACTCGATCTGCTACCACAGCACAAATAGCGTCTTTGTCAAAACAGAAAAATTGCAGTAAAGTCTGTAATTTGGCAAAAGCCTGATATCAGATATACTCAAGTTTCCTTTTTATAGGAAAACTGAGTGAAAAATGTTCCTTTTATCTGATCACTTCCAGGATTAGTAAATTGTCAAATATTTTGTTTTGACAAAGTTACTTAGCTTAAACACAATTGACAGCAAAGAGTGAAGCAGCTTCTACTCCTACCCTCACCTTCCTTGCCTACACTTTAGCATACTGAATATTAGCGAAGAGGCCCTTGGCTGCCCCCATAATCGAGGACTTGGCAACATGTGGTGGCTTTTCTACCACTACAGTTGAAAGTTCACATGGGGCTGTAAAGGCGATTTGAACATAAAACATCCAGGATTTTATTCAACCAAAGTAAACACTGATTTATAACTGAGCCAAATTTCCGTTACTGCACAAAATGAACAAATAATTAATGTACAGAGGTAAAAGACATTACACAATTCTTCATACTGGGCCTTCGCTTATTAAATGGAGATTTGGTGCAGTTAGACTACTCAAAATTTAAAGGGTGAAAGTGTAAATGCAAATGTGAATGAATGCATATTGGTGCTTCTGTTTGTGCCAATGCTTATGCCTGTGTAAATGAGTATGCACTTATTTATGGATGGTATCATGGACAATAATTTAGCAGAACTTAATCAACTCGGAAAGAGCAAATGATAAAATACATTTAGAAATCATAATAAAAGCATCATTGTATGAATACTGAGACTCCACAAATTCACACCTCTTGTTCCTATTTCCTTATTTCCTAAACAAAGTTTCAACAGAAAGATGCAGGCACTTAAGAAAGATAGGAACATGAAGCAGACCTGAATGGCAGCAGTTGAAAAAGAGAGAAAAAAGAGACCATTACCTATCAAATATATACCATGAAAATCAGACATGAAATATTTTAATATGAAAATATACAAAAACAAAATAAATTATCCATGGGCATCCCATCCTGTACAACCAATAAAATGAAACATGCTTACAGGGTATGAATACAACATCCATTCATCTATAATCATTCCACTCAATCCAGTAAGCACTCATCAAGTCAACCATATTTCCACTTTCCTCAACCAACCCTCAGCTGCCATTCAGCCTTTAACCAAGTGTACCCTTAAATACCTGAGATATATATCACTTGACTATTCTAAGTTGTATTAGATGGTATATTCCAACCTCTCAAAGGCATCAAAATATCAAGACCAAAAACATCTGAGAACTTTTTCATAATAAAAAAATATTATAACTTTTCAATGTTAACATTTTTCTATTCTTAAATATTTCTAAGATAACTCTCTGATACATTAAAGTACATCTTTTATAACTATAATTTTACAACTGTAAATAAAGGAAAAGAGAAACAAGTGATTTAATTTTCTCTTAACTGGAAAAGATTATCTATTGCCCAGTCTAATTCTATACAGTACCAACCACGCAGTTTGGATTTATCATACTTAAATTATGTTAAAAAAAAACTCATTAATAAATTTCATAAAAGGTCATAATAAGATATACTAAAGATTAAATTATACATTACAATTTGTACAAAGAAAAAAAAAGGTGGAAAACAAAATAAAGAAAAAAAAATAATTTTAAAAATAATTCCCTCATATGTAGAAATTTTGTATAAGTCACTTCAACTTACCATCATCATGGGGTATATGTGAACCATCACGTAATGAGTCTAAGGAACCACACCGTGGCATTCCCATTTCAGGACCATTTATAACCTGGAAAGAAATTACAGTAATACAATACCTAAAGTTTTCAATAGTGGTGTGAGTTATTACCATATTTAAATTTACATTAGACATTTTGTGAAATGTACAGAGATAAGTAATGAAAATAAAAGCTTGGGTACAACAGCAAATATCAAATGGAATTCCTGGACCTTAATACAATTAAAAAATCTATGAGCCTAAACCTTCTGGGATCATGAAAGCTGTTAGCAATATCCACATTCTCTACCAACTTCTGTTCTATACCTTAGAACCAATGACGTGCTGAAAAAGCATATATAAAGCTGCATTAACTAATAATTCAGGCAGTCTTGAACATAACCTAAAGGGCATTCTAATACCACAGAAACTGTTCTCAAAGAAAATAAAAGGCTTGTAAAGAAAATTCAAAAGGAATATGGAGTGCAAGGTGGCACCCCTACCTGATCCCTGCTGGCTCTAGCTCTCTTCAAAGTGCCATTATTAACCACCTTCTGGGTGTTAAAGGTGGAAGGGGAGAGAGTATTGGCGTGCGGCTGAGTCACATTCTCAGCAGAGGATCCTCGGCGAAGGGGTCGGGGAGAATGGTATAGACGACTAGGTAGGATGTGGTGTAACAGTGAGTCTTTTTGACGCCCAAGGATCGGGGTGCTCGGCTGAGGAGTTAGTGTAGAGCTGGGTGCTGTTATGTGAGAAGATTGATTCTGTGAGGAAGGGCGACTATTGTGAGGTGGTGGCCGAGGGCTTTCTGGATAAATTATTGTTTGCCCAATTTTACGTGTCGGGGTTAGTTCTGTACCAGCTTCAGCCATTGAAGGAAACAGGGAAGGAGAAGAAGAAGATGAGGTCAAGCCAAACAGGAAACCAGAACCTTTACTTGATTTCTTTTTCTTTGGAACTGAAGGTGACAACTGTTGTGTTGTACTGGAAGGTTTCTTCCCAATTTTATAATGTTCATTCTGGTAGGAATCTTCAACTGGCTTTTCAGTCAAGAAATCAGCATCATGTTGCAGAGACGAACGAGTTAGACTACCATACCCTGAGCTACTAGAGGAAGAAGTAGAACCTAAAGTACTATGAGGCGAAGCTGCATTATATTCAAGCCAACGGTGTGACTGCTGTGGTGTTAGGCCATGCTTAGCATCATTAGTTCTTTCACATACTAGTCCTGAAACAGGCTCGCTATCAACCTGAATAGTAGGAAGTTGTGGAAAGTCATTGTTAGGTACCTGGGTGGTAGCATTAGTGGTGGGTGTGAGTGAAGTGTTAGAGAGGGGATGGTGAGAGAGGGCTGCTGAGATGAGACCAGTCTGGGAACTTGTGCTGGAACTCTGGGAAGTTAGTGATCCTTGGTCCCCACCCATACTCTCACTGAGCCCTTGAAGCCGCCATGAGTAGTCAGAAATCTTGCGCACAACCTCTGTAAGTAAGAGATATAAATTTAGATATGATAATGAGAGAGAGAGAGAGAGAAAAAAAAAAAATCTGCAAATCTATATATTTTGCAAATCACAATCACTGAATGTTTACAGTAACCTAGCAGTAATATGATATTTGGCTGGATTTAGTACAATATTAAACATCATTAAAAAAAACTAAACTAAACTAAACTAAAATTCACTGCAGATTTTAATAAAAACAAAGAACTTAGTATCCATTAATAAGCTCAATCTTGTTTGAATTGAAAACTGAGGTAAATGTATAAAGATATAGCAGTGTGAGAAAGCATCTGAACAGTATCACTTATTTTCTTTTATCTGTTAAATACATCTGTATATGTCCAATCACATTTGTTAGAAAATATAAAGACAATCCTCCATACTTCTTTAAATGTTGTAAAACAGGTTAACAATTTAAACTTGGGATTCAGTAAAGATTTTTCAAATGACAACTGATTTGAATTTCTAGTTTTTACATTAATAACAAAGAAAAAATGCAGTATATCAATTGCAGAGATATATCCAAGTGTGGGATGGAGAAAAATACTGGAAAAAATTGCATACACTCTTTACAAAAATCTCATTACTGTTATTTAATTATTTCTTGTTTTCAATGTATTGTGTTGCATTGTAGTTAGGGTGGCTGCTGAGCCTGTCCAACTCTTAGAAAATTGCAGTCATCTCTTTTATCACATATGTCAACTTCATATACTCTCAACAATTAAAATGTATATATTTCTTATGCTCCCGAGTGTTTCCTTTTCTATAATGAAAATTATTCTTTTTTCTATCAGATAAAGATAGACAGGTACCAGAAACATGGAAGAGTCTTAATAAAACTGAATAAACATATCAATACATAGTATATGACTTTAATGTTAGTAATTTTCCAATCTTAAAAATGTCAATAAATGTATACCTAATATTGTGCTGATCTTAATTATATATAACCTATTCATTCAATATAAAAAAAGCAGTAATCTCTGATATACATGTATAGAACTTATTATATTCTAGAGACCAAATAATACTGATACATTTCTATAAACTAGGCCATCTTTCTCTTGTTAGGCCCAAAAAAGATATACCAAAGAAACAAAATATTTAACAAAAATAATAAGCAAATAATCATATGGGTATGTACATGTAAGTATATATGTATGTATTTATCTATGTATATAATAATATATATACATATGCAAACACACACTGATATACAGCACATATGTAAGTAATGGGAAAGCAAGGGAGAACATAGGCATCAAATGAAATATGTTATTAGGGAATAGGCTTTATAATTAAAATCACTTTGTACAAAAGTACCATGTAGAAGCTGGCAATAACAAAAATTAAGGAAATTCTTCTGGTTTCAAAAACAAAAAAATACAAGAAAATAGAAAAAAGGGTCTTACTGAAGATACTAGACACAGCTGATAGCAAAACAAATACAACTACATTTGTTCATACATAAAAGAATATTTATTTACAACTGAAAGAAGACAGGACTAGGAGTCACTCAAGGAAAAGGTGGGGCAGGTGATTGATGGGCAAGGAGAAATACCTCTTCTCTACAAAATTCTTATATATAGCCACTGCTGGAGCCATTGATTTATTCTACTCTCTTTCCTAAGCCAAGATATTTATCTTCTGAGCAGCTTACCTTACTGTAATCAATATCTAAAATAAAGAGTAAGTACAAAACAATACATACACAAAAGGTATTAACACATTAGCAGTTTCTCCATTTAGTCTTATTCCTGGAGTGATGCACTGTTTTGTTACACATAAATTCTAGGTATCCTACTAGATATACATTAAGTTAACCTATAGTACTCAGAGAAAGAAAAAAGAAAGAGAAAACATCAACTATAAATGCATTTTGTGCAAAAGTACAAGCCTGAAGTATGGAAAGCTCTGGGAAGTAAACATCATGAGAAGATGAGTAATAAAGAGATGATAAACTACAATACTGTGATATTTAAACAAACCCCATTCCAGGCAAACATAAAATTCACAGGAAAACAGAGTGATCTGATGTGAAACTTTTGCCAGAGATAATAAAACCTAACATAGACCATATTATATCACATCTCAGTAACATCCAAGCTAACAAAATCAGATATTACTGTACGTATAGTCTTTGGGATAAAACAAAGGCTTGAGATGTAAAAATGAAAGACAAAATACAAAAACAATAACAATAAATAATAATAATTTTTTTTACAAAACCACATTCTGTGTATTACTGCTTACATACAAGAATCAAACAGCACACATACAAAATCCTAGGCTTGTACAGAATATCCTAGTATCTACACATAAGTAAGAGTGAAACAACCTTGAAATCCACTCACACTCTCCTAAACACACAAAACAGAAAATTGAGAAGGGTAGCTATAAAGTCCAATATTAATATGCTGCAACATGCAAGAATTGATCGTACATGTCCGAGTATGGTAAATGCCTTTAACTAAGTCTAAGGATGCATAAATATGTGATTGTGTCATGCAATTCACATATAATGAATAAACAACCATGCAGCATACAACCAGCAAAGGTTTGGGGGAAAGAATCACCTCTAAACAGCCCTAAAGGCAAAATACCTCATGGAAGCAGATACATTCCAAGTGTTCTATGCAGCCAGGGTACTAGGAAGGCTCTGTTATAAGATATCATTTGTATCATGTTAGTATTGTTAGTTTGTTAAGTGTGAAGACCATAAATGTGTTAAGATTATCAATAAAGCACGTCAAATATACTAACAGCAGACACACACACACTGTCAAACAAGCACTAAGACTTTTTAAATTGTAGAGTTAATTGCATTAATTCTACTACCAACAGCTTTCTCCAATTAATACAATATTATTCATTAACTGCAACCCACAGGATCTGATATAACTATAGCCAGCAGAAATAGGATATATTATTAGTTAACATAGTTCAAAAGAGATTAAATTCAAAACTCTAAGGCTGACATGCATATCCCACACAAAATGGAATATTCATTATACTGATTACACTGACATGAAACGAGTGCTAAACATAATGATCAGCAGGAGAATGTATCTTTGCAAAGAGATATCAAGCCAATCCACAATTCAGAAGAAGCTTCAATGACTCATGACTCTAAAACTCAGATTTCATGTTAAATCCCGATTATTTGCCAAGCCATCACATCAATTACATCCTCTAAAGTAAAAAGCCTGGCTAAATACATGCAGTTAAGAAGTACTAAAATAACAGTGAATGACATCAAACATATCTTAATATATTTAGATTACATCTAAATATCTATACAGTACATATATATAAAATATATATACAATATACATCCAGTTTTCATAAGCCTATCAATAAACATACTCAAAACACCCACACATGAACACAGACACACCTTTCTTTCCTGTCACATTAATCTTAATTTGGCTAAATAAATGATAAATAATATTCAATTAAGTGTTTCATATGAAATATCTAAGAACTTGACTTTAAAAATCAATTTATGAAAAACAGAATTATATGCTACTATTACTGTCCAATGAAATTAATTTACAAATATAAATAAACAATTATAGTTGAAGTGTAGACATTATGGGAGAGAAATAGCACACACAGGCAACCATGTCTGTTATATAGTTCATTCATCTATTATTCAATTTACAAATTTAGGACAAACAAAAGTTTGACCAAAGGAAACTAAAATAATCTTAAATAAAGAGAACTCCTGAATCCCACAAAAATAATCTTGGTATTAGCAATGATATAATTTGTATTCTAAACATACTGCTCACTAAATGGACTTCAGTAACTTATTTCTATTACAAGTACCAATGATATGATTTATCTCACCTGTTGGGTTGTCAGCTAATTGGTCAAGGATATCTTCTGATTCCATGTCCTGCTTAGCTCGCTGCCAGAGTTCCTCTAGTCTTCTCCTCTCCACATCTCTCCTTTCAGTTTCTCTTCTGTGTTTAGTCAGGTCACGGTGAAGCATGGCTCGTGTCTCCATTTCAAATCGCCTGATTCGTTCCTGAGTGCTAGCACTGAGGCCAGCATAAGAACGAATAGCTACTTCATCTCCAAAGAGGGAGGATGTCTCTGGCGTTGTCAGCTGACTAGATTGTTGACAGGAGGGAGCTATGACAGAACTACTACCAGGGGGTGGTGGTGTGCTAGAAGATAACGCATCTTTCTTGATAACACAAAACAGACGGCCATCCTGTTCAGGTAAACTGTGCTTTCCCTGTTCACTGGCACTAGTCCTTTCGCTACTCTGTGTTAAACTAGACATACTAGAAGGATGACCATGAACACTCATTAAGCTCATATTTGAGATCTTACGTTCACTCATTGGTTTTGGATCTGGCAGTTCAACCATACTTTCAATCTGTTTAGCTAATAATCTTTGCTTTCTTAATTCTGCTTCCTTATCAATATCTCTTTCTTCAAAACCTCCTTCCTTATCACTATATTTAATATCATCTACTGGCTTGTCATCAACTGGCTTTTTGTATTTCACTTTGTGGACTTTCCTATTTGCTGCTGAAATGATGGAAGAAACAATATCCTTCTTTAAGTCTCCCTTTGCACCTGAAATTAAGGTAAGGTAATATGTTATTATACAAACGAGTTACTATGATTCTTCTTTAGTATCATATTTATGGTGACTCAACCATATAGCATTCTGCACATCTCATACCTTCAACTTTCTGAATGTTGTGAAGTAGTAGTGCTTGGCTAGATGGCGTTTCAGGTTCCATGGTAGGTGATAATGAATCACTTGCAGAACTTTGTAAAACAGATGGGCTTAGAGATGGTGGAATTACTTCTTCTCCATCATCTTCATTAAAAAACCAAGCAGCCTGCAAATTTAGAAAAGCATGATTTAATTATGAGCCTTTTTAAGTACTGCATGTCACTTAAATATGCTTATACATATATATGTATAATTTCAGTCCAGTATTTAACCATGCAAGAATAACTTACTTGGCCTATCAATGTCTCAACAATTTTGCATTGATGTGACATGTCTGTAACCATGGTGATCATGTTATCATCCCCTGAGCGAACTAGCGTTGGTCCAAATACAATGGCCAAATTCCGGACATCCATTTTGTTAGACTCACTGTTGCTAACAATATGACTTAAGTGAAGCATAAGGAATCTTAGGGTCTCATAGTGATGGTCGGGTAATTCTTGTACCTGCAAGAACATATAAGGTAATAAATTTTACATCATACTATTATTTGTTTTTCCCTAAAACAAATATACACATTTATGATGAATGTCAATCTGTGAAGAGAAGGGATCTACAGAAACAAAATGGCCATGCAAATAGGCCTTAACTTACCAATCTCCTGAGCTCCATTAACCTCTGATTTGGATCCTCTATTTTACTGGCTTCAATGAACAGTGGATAAAGATCACAGGTAAAAAGCGGGTCTGGTAACTTCTGGAAAAACTGCTTTAGCATACTGGAGATCACATTCACATCAGACCATCTGGGGAAAGGAAAATGAAGAGGATCTTTTATATGTATAAAATGGAAAACATATACACAAGCTACTTTACTTTCACCAAAAATATTCAGAAATATAATCAAGATGAAAAACAAAAGAGTTATATTATAAACCATTTACCTTGGGTCACTATAATCAATAGCTTTGGGTCCCTTGTTGATCATCTCAGTTAAATGTGTTACTGCTGCTTTATTTCCTGGGATACGATAGATGCCCTGAGTTTGTAAACCTCTGGTCTCCACAACACTGACACAGAGGGCCACCAATAGTGGAACAAATTCATTTTCGTCTGACTGTAATTGAAGAATATACATATATCAGTCAGTTACTGTGAAAATAGAATACTTCACATCAAGAAAAATAAATTAACAAACATGTAGTCAGAATATCCAACCCTTTTCTATATAAGAATAAAAAAGATTACACAATCACTTGCTGATTAAAAATTTAAGCAAGAACATGAGGGGAATGAGAAAGAAAAGAGAAACACCACAGAACTTACTTGTGGGCAATCTTCTAAGCATACACCTATTGTTGCACCCTCTGGTTGGGGGGTGGTGGGGGTGATAGCAGGGGAGCCACCCTGGATCTTCTTCATGAAGGGTCTTACAAGATTGCCTCTCCAAGTTTTAGACTTAGGCGAAGAATTGCTCTCTGGAAAAAGAAAAAAAAAATCAAAATATCTCATTGATGTGCACAATTCGTGGTGCTGAAATTAACAACAATAATTGTGCATGTAGTAATACTTTTAATACTACTACACTTTATATGTATTTCCTTATGTATGTGTGTATATGCATTTGGGTGTGTGGAGGTGGTGGATGTGAGGAGGTGGTGGATGTGAGGAGGTGGCGGATGTGTTGGAGGTGGCGGGTAAGTTGGAGGTGGCGGGTAAGTTGGAGGTGGTGGGTGTGTCCGCCTGCGCCCATGTGAGATCATGTAACACAAAACAATTCCATGACAACGAGTGTACGAAGTAGGGAGAGCCGGCTCAACTTACCGACGCTGCTAGGCTTTCGGGTCTTGGTCGACGGCGACTGCCCGGTGGGCGAGCGCGTTCGCAGTGACGAGGTCAGTTTCCGCATTGCCTTGTTGCTGGTCTGCGGCGATACGTTGTTGTTGTTCATGGGGGTTTTGCTGCATGCCTCTCCTTCCTGTGAAGGAAATATAATAGCATTATCATAACAGCAAAACGGTTGCTATTGAGGGAATAAATCGATTTACGTTTGAATTTTGAATTAGATAATTTCGAAAGATTTGGACTTTACCATAATGAAGTTTTGTTTATTTGGCAATGTATTACCCTATATGAACGATGTATTTGCCCTATGCATTCTAACTGAATCAGCACGCCTAATATAGAAGAGGAGACTTCCAATATAAGTCTATCTATTCATTGCAATGTCCAAGGGTATGAAATCGGAGTCGGCGATATTTTAGATGTGAAAATGTAATTACATTTTCCACGGAAACGTAAAATTGTAAATATTTTTGATGTCCTTCAAATAAACCATCATACTAAATTAGTTTTGAATCATTGGGCTGGGTGAAGTTACCGTTAGCTATTTATGTTAAGGTTTAGGAACTATTAATTTTCTCTACGACAGCGCCAATGACCTTCGGGCGCCTCTACTCTAAGGAGCAGATATTTTTTTTATGTTAGGAAAGACGGTGTCCAGCGTGTAGGCGAAACTTACCTGTATGGCACAGTTATTCTGCAGAGTAGAGAGCCAAGCCAGCATCTCCGGCGGGGTGTCAGCCTGGAGCAGCAGCTGCGACCCGCCCGGAGTGGCCAGGCGCAGCACATTCCGCCTCTTGGTGTAGTCGCTCGCTACTTCTACTTCGGCGCCACGCAGGGAGATCTGGTCCTCTACACCCAAGGGCGTCTGCAACGAGAAAAAAAGAGTTTGTTAGCTATTAAAGCTCGGTAAATACTGAGAAATTCTAACATCTACAAAAAAAAAATGTACATATGTAATTATACATACATGCATGTATACATACATACATATATGTATGTGTGTGTGTGTGTGTGTGTGTGTGTGTGTGTGTGTGTGTGTGTGTGTGTATGTGTATGTGTGTGTATGTGTGTGTATGTGTGTGTATGTGTGTGTATGTGTGTGTGTGTGTGTGTGTGTGTGTGTGTGTGTGTGTGTGTGTGTGTGTGCGTATGTGTGTGTGTGCGTATGTGTGTGTGCGTGCGTATGTGTGTGTGTGCGTGTGTGTGTGCACGCGCGTGCGTACATGTTTTCAGTTTTATCAGGTTAAAGGATAGCCAAGATGGCAGCGCGTGCAAACTGCCTGCAAACGGGAGCATGGTCTATATAAGACCTTGGGCGGGAGTACCCAACGCCCAGGTCAACCTGTTCAGGGCCCCGCTCACGTTAAGGCTAAATATTTATGAGGGAGGCGATGATGATGCAATTAGGTCGAAGTGTAATAAATGTTTGGGCTTGGCGGGGAAAGGCGGGGTACACTCGCCCTCACTCACTCCTCGCTTGCTCCAACCTCGAGCTGGCCTCCAGAAAGAACACAGGCTGAGGTCAGCCTTGAGGTATGATGGGTCGCATGCCGAGAACGAAGAGGAGCAAGGGAAGGAGAAACGTGAAGCGAAGAAAGAGAATAAATAAGATAAATATAGGGGAAAGCAGTGGGTAAAATGTGTGCGGAAGGTATGGAGTAAAAAAAATAAGGAGAAGAAAGAGAAATGAGAGAGGGAGAGGGAATATAAAAGAAGCCCTCCTTCTACTACTCCTCGAGTCAGTCTTCCTTAGGACGGCTGGCTCTCACCTGACACCCTCGCCGCTGTAACTCAACGCCTCTCCGACTTACACAACACACTTGCTTTTGTTACTACAGAGGAGAGTTACCCCGACCTGTTACTATGGGGGTTAGTTTACATTATTGTTGGAGATGTTTTATTACCACTGAGAAATTAACGATTTTCTATTTTTTTTTTAGTGATAATGGTTACTGCACTGGGAGAAATCTACGATTCTTTAATGAAAACCATATAACCCTGATTGCAACCATTATGAATTTACCTACATTAGTTGGATATATGTTATGCAAAATTACTTGGGTTTACTTCTTAAGCCTGCTAAAAGGAAGACGACTACATAGGAGGCTTCCTGTAGATCACGGTATAATGGAGAGCAAAAGAGTAACAAATCCAAATCTAAACATGACTATGTTATTCTTGCAGACATTAAAATTGTTCTGTCCGAAGCATCTTCGCCATCCCCTCACTTACCCAGGAGCCATACGAGGAAAGGTTCCAGAACCGAGGAATGCGTCCGTTGGCTGCCACGGCGGCCATGGGAACGCAAGCGATCTTCATGGTGCCGCTGCTCGTACTCAAGGGAGGGTGACAGGGAGGTGTTCAACCGTAGGGCGAGGGAGAACCAGTAGAGAGAAAGGTCGAGGGAGAACCAATGAGACAACACGGCAGCATGTAGCTCACTCTGTGCTGCCCTCCCCTACAGAGCCGCATGTCTTGACGCTCTCACCGCAAGCTACGCTCTTCTCCACAACACAAAAGCTGTCTTTGCCTTTGGCGCCTCGTTCACTGTTGTTCCATGTAAAGACAACAATTGGACTCAATCATCCCAAATTCCAGTACGATGTTCAAAGAGCCCTTGCGCCCGCGGATACGGCTGTAACATTGTCCCCTAATCGTTCTAGTCTTTTAGGGATCCATGTTCTCAGCAGCGTCCCGCCACGTGACCGAAGCGTGCACGTTCAATCCGGGGTTTTATTTCCGCGCGATGTGGATGCTGGGAATGATAATCTGGGTTCTTATATCGAGGAACTTAACACGCATATTACATAAATCACGCACGGATGAAAATAAACCAATACTCCGATAGATATCCTTTACCTCGAGAAGCAATTCTATTTGTTTATGTTTAAGTATGTAGTCACAAAAACTACGGTCGTGTCAGCAAAATTTTGCCGTGGTAAGTCAACAGAGCCCTTGCGATATTTTTAATCGATACTGTCAAACTGGGTAACAGAACTAAGCTTTACAGCTCATTAAGATCTTTTAAACGAGCACATATATGCCTAGGTATTGCGAAAGTCTTCAGACGACCAATTATTATTATGGCCAATTAACATCAATCAAAAGGGCCAGGACTAAGATATCGTAAGGGCTCTGCTGACCCACCACAGCAAGATAATGCCAGAGCGACCACACACACTCTCTCACACACACACACACACACACACACACACACACACACACACACACACACACACTCGCGCGCGCGTGTCCAAAGATCTAAAATAAATACAGTAGCCCTTGAGTGAGCCAAGGAACACACACGCACTCGCATCGCCTTTGTAACTTAGGAAGACAAATAAAGGACACGGGTCACAAGGGCAAAGACGAGGCCCGGCTGCCGGCGAGGGCCTCAACACCTATAACATTTCCTGGATCATAACCCGCACTTAAACCCTCTTAGAACCGGGTCGAGATCAGGTCCTCCTCCCGTGCCCAAGGCGTGGCCCACATATCCGATCGACGCCATCATCATCATCATCATCATCATCATTATTGTTATGAACTTAACTTGTAGGGGGTCTGGAAAACACGTTTAGGTTCGTATAATTAACTCGAAGATTTACAATCGAATCCCATCAATTTTAATCACGACAGAACGTTGAGCTCAGCCAACACCAAGGAAGGATTCGCTAATAATTCAAATCGCAGCCTCCAGGAAATCAGGTGCAAAAATATCTCTTCCCGCACAGGACACTTGAACAAAAGTTAGTGATGTTAAACGAAATCATACAGCGGGGGATGTGAAAGTCAGAGAAAAGGGAAGAGAAACCAAACGCGACCAAAGAGTTAGGATCATTTCCGTTCTTCGTTTCTAATCCAGTGAGCATATTAAATTTCATGATGTGCACATAAATAATAGATTCCTATGTGCTGTCTTACAACAAAATATTGATTTTCAAGTCTCCATCAAGGATTCAAACATTCATAAAGAGGATTATTAGTGACAAAAAGGAAAAATGTATCCTTAATCAAGACACTTTGGAAGGTACTCATATAAATGGATACTAGTGGAAACGTGCATGTTACTCAGAATGCCAGCAAGGTCAACAATAATTACAAAAATATTAACAAATTCTGTCGGAGAGAAAGTGATGATAACAATAACGGTGGCGATGATGCCAACAGACATGGCACTCTGCGAGTGCAGCGACGGCGAACACAAACCCACGGGAACCGGTTCGCCCCCGACTTTCCAATTCATTTCTTTTCCTCCCTCGCGAGCCATTCCCGCGCTAGGAAATACCTCGCCGCGTCCCTCCATCTCCGTACAAGCCGCAGCGGCGAGTGACAAGGACAACGTGTGGGATAAAACTCATCCAAGCGGAGAGAAGGTTAGCCGGGGAGCCTTACCGGACGCGGCGCCGCCTCCCTCCTGCCTCCTGCACCTCCAGCCTTCCAAACATGGTCACTGCTGCACACCCTAAATATGGCAACCCTTGCCACTAGCTTGCTTTCGGCAGCCGCCTATCTCGCGATTCATCATCATCATCATCATCATCATCATCATCATCATCATCATCATCATCATCATCATCATCATCATCATCATCATCATCATCATCATCATCATCATCATCATCATCATCATCATCATCATCATCATCATCATCATCATCATCATCATCATCATCATCATCATCATCATCATCATCATCATCATCATCATCATCATCATCATCATCATCATCATCATCATCATCATCATCATCATCATCATCATCATCATCATCATCATCATCATCATCATCATCATCATCATCATCATCATCATCATCATCATCATCATCATCATCATCATCATCATCATCATCATCATCATCATCATCATCATCATCATCATCATCATCATCATCATCATCATCATCATCATCATCATCATCATCATCATCATCATCATCATCATCATCATCATCATCATCATCATCATCATCATCATCATCATCATCATCATCATCATCATCATCATCATCATCATCATCATCATCATCATCATCATCATCATCATCATCATCATCATCATCATCATCATCATCATCATCATCATCATCATCATCATCATCATCATCATCATCATCATCATCATCATCATCATCATCATCATCATCATCATCATCATCATCATCATCATCATCATCATCATCATCATCATCATCATCATCATCATCATCATCATCATCATCATCATCATCATCATTATTGTTATGAACTTAACTTGTAGGGGGTCTGGAAAACACGTTTAGGTTCGTATAATTAACTCGAAGATTTACAATCGAATCCCATCAATTTTAATCACGACAGAACGTTGAGCTCAGCCAACACCAAGGAAGGATTCGCTAATAATTCAAATCGCAGCCTCCAGGAAATCAGGTGCAAAAATATCTCTTCCCGCACAGGACACTTGAACAAAAGTTAGTGATGTTAAACGAAATCATACAGCGGGGGATGTGAAAGTCAGAGAAAAGGGAAGAGAAACCAAACGCGACCAAAGAGTTAGGATCATTTCCGTTCTTCGTTTCTAATCCAGTGAGCATATTAAATTTCATGATGTGCACATAAATAATAGATTCCTATGTGCTGTCTTACAACAAAATATTGATTTTCAAGTCTCCATCAAGGATTCAAACATTCATAAAGAGGATTATTAGTGACAAAAAGGAAAAATGTATCCTTAATCAAGACACTTTGGAAGGTACTCATATAAATGGATACTAGTGGAAACGTGCATGTTACTCAGAATGCCAGCAAGGTCAACAATAATTACAAAAATATTAACAAATTCTGTCGGAGAGAAAGTGATGATAACAATAACGGTGGCGATGA